AAGAGATACAACCCAATCTAAGGTAATAGTGAAAAGTTCACACCCTCTGAGAAAATATTCCATGTTTTAGACTGAAAGAATTTCAGCAGCTTCAGTCCAATTTTATCATAATACTGGTATGCACGTTGGCGATATTAAGTCTTAGAAACAAATTCAAAGATTGAACAAACTGTGAAATTACACTGCAGTCTTGCTCATGACAGATGTTCTGTCAGGACTGGACTGAAAAATGGATGGGACAATAGTCAATGCGTTGCCTGTACTTAATTTTGTCTATAGTCAGTGACTGAAACCCTTACATCTCCGGCACTTCACCTTAACAGTAACATGGCTAAATACTTTTGAGGAAGAATCAGTATTGCCCTTATATTGTTAAAAAGATAAAATCAATACATTTATATAAAAAATAAGTAGTATTTTTATGACTTTACAGATTACAGCCCTCAGACAGAATTGATGTGAGGTGACAGGTATTATTAAGACAAGTAATTTCATCCTGGAAAGATCACAGAAAAAAATACAGGAAACAGTACAGTTTTCCAACACTACAGTTTCTTCAAACAGAAACAGATTAACTTCCTTAATACAACCTGATCTCTGGGCCATAATCCTATTTTGCCAGGGGAACAAACTAGTTATTATAATCACTGAGGATTAGCTTTAGAGAAGATCTTGTTTAAAGAATCAAAATCAGAGCACACCAGTCTTCACTTCCACAGCACCTGATGCCCCAGCAGAGCTCTAACACTAATTATGTACCAGAGTAAGCAAGCCAAGGAGCAGAAAAATCACACTGTGAGCAAACAGCTGAGCCAGAACCTGACTCCCAATGTAAGCACAGCACCAAAAGCCCTATTCATTACACATACGCTAAGGATATTATAAACCTTCTTGAGACGCCTTTCCAGAAGCAAAGAAACATTTGCTTCTGATAACTTGATTATGAACTTCTGGGGTTTTACTCTACTGGGACATCCCACCATAACGTGCAAGCAGAGATCTATCCATTATCTCATTCCCAGAATAGTGCATCACTATCACTCACGTTTTCCATTTTGCTCTCTGCTTCATAGATTTACCCCCAGCCCAACCATTTTTCTCATTAGTTTTTTTCTTTTTTGGAGCTGGGGAGAGGGAAGGAGAAGGCGAAGAATTTATTTTGGTTTAGTTTTTCTCTGGTAACCATAGACTTCTATAGAGAGCAAAAGATGTTTAGACAGGTAAACCATAACCTGTTCTCTAATCAGATATAGGTTGGCCTAATAGAACAAGCTCGCAGGTTTCAAAATACTTGCTCCTTTGCGTGCAATGGTATACACACCACCACAAAACAAATTAGGGTAATGACTCTAATCAAAAGTTATCTGTTAAAATACTATGTTTTTAAAACTGACATACATCTCTCTCATTTTTTACCTCAAAATAAAGAAAAAAAAGCAAAACAAAAAGATCAGAAGATAGGGCTCAAAGGAATTTCAAGAAATGCTATCCACACTTTGCAGCTGAAGAGGTTATTCTAGCAGCTGGGAACAGTCATACATTGCAACCTTGTCTCATACTATGTCAACAAACCAACTGTAACCTTGGTCTGTACTTGTGCAGAACAGCTGACATCCCAGAAATAATTTTTCTGTAGGTAAACCCACTGTAACAGCACATGTACATCTTCACCTGCTTCACAGGAAAAGTAGGAGACGGCTGCTTCCTAGTGCAGACATCCACACAATTTGATCCCAGATGGGCTTTTAATAGGAAAATTTGCGAGTGGACATGAGTACCCCCTGTACCCAAGGACACATCTGTGTGCAATATAGTGAAGAAAGGGCAGTAGGACAGATGACTGGTGGTGTGGGTTGCCATTATCAGAATAACTCATCTAGTCTCAAGTCTGTTCCTGACGGACTTTTGGGAAAAAAGGGTAAGTCCAAGCAGTCTATAGGAGAGAGGAACTGCCTGGTAGGAGGCCTGTTGTGGTAATGGTCAGCAATATCATAGACTTAGTCAAGTTACAATTGCACTTGAAAGAGTGCATACTATTTGCCCACAGACCTATTTGTACTTAGTCCAAACAAACAGCAGCAGCTAGAAGAACCTACAGGTCACCATGACTGGGAGACAATGTAGCAACCACAGAGGTAAAAAGAAGTTATGGTCTTAGAAATGGTTTGTAACACTGATGTGTCCCTGTCTACTCCCTGCAAAGGTACTGGACCTAAGCAAGCTGCTCTTACAAGTCTGGTTAGAAGTCACAGGAAATAATATCCTCATAAAAACATGCATAGTGAGAATCTGAAGAAAAAGCAATTCTCTCCTGCGTTCTTAATGCATTAGACTGTCCTGCCATCAGGAGAACTTTGCCCTGAAGGCAGTTTGCAATTTCCATCTCTAGCTCATGGTTAGAAGAAACATCCCTGCCCACCACTCCTCTACTGCACATTATTTGGGCTGATCTCTGCTTGACCAGCTTTTCTGCTACCACTTCCACTCTTCTCTGGCATTTGCATCTCCTTCCCCTTCCTCACCATGGAGATGGGCCCACAGCTCCTTCACTGATGGGGTGCAGCTCTAATCTTAGTTCAGGCTGCAGTGAAGACATGTGCAAGAAAGCCGTAAGAAGCCTCTGACTCGTTGTCTGGGCTGTATTGGAGCCTGGACATGTATCCCACTCATCTGGCCTCTGACTCGCTGATTTGACTTCTCAGCTTGTCCTCAGCTCTGCCTCCTCACCAGGAACTTGCTGGTGATCTGGGCACTTGGAGGCTAGCTGCCCTCCCCTGGGAGCAGCCTGCCCTTCGATCTCCCTGGGAGTGACCAGGAAAGCACTCAGCAGGTTGCCTGGCTTCTAACAAAACTGGTCTCGACAGTGGGATGCTGAAGTGCGTACCAGGCTTTTTTCCC